ATCAATGCGGAGAAGATCTTGTTTACGTCAAAACTGAAACCAAGCCGTTCACACAGAACGCATATTTCGTGCATTTTCTAGAGGGACATTGTCTATCACCGTTGCACTCGAAGCCATGTAAAATTAATGCAAGTTCAACTTTGAAAAAACAAAAAAAAACAAACATGTATCGAGACTTTATGGTGGGGTTTTTTCCCCATCTCACTGCATCTCATGTTTTTAAATGAAAGACTACTCTGTGTGATTGGCTTTCGGCGCTTTGTATTAAACTATGCATAGATACATGATACTGTTTTGTTTATAGTTGTTTAAGCAACTTAATTATAATTGGTTTATAAACATTATTTTAAACATTATGCACTTTTTTCACAGATAGTCATGTTATCTTATGCTTTGAATAAACGTGCATTAGTAATATTTTGCTCGATGCACCTTCTTGTGGCCTCAGGAGAGAAGCCAAAAGCTTTTTTTTCACCCTAACTGAAATTATGCCTCTTAAATTAGAATATAATTTGAATATTGATAATATTAAAGTACAAAATTCTAATTTAGTTTTTCAGCCATTTTGACAGCCCTAACTTGTTACCAAATATTTCTTTCAAATAAATGCTGTTATTAATAATAACAACATGGTAACACTTTACAATAAGGTGTCATTTGTTAGCATTAATGTATTAACTAACATGAACAAACAACGAACAATACATTTATAACAGTATTTATTCATCTTTTTTAATGTTAGTTAAGAAAAATACAGTAATTCATTGTTTGTTCATGTTAGTTCACAGTGCATTAATAATGTTAACATAACTTGTGATTTTAATAATGCATTAGTAAATGCTGAAATTAACATTAAGATCAATAAATGCTGCAGAAGTTCATGTTAACTAATAAAACTTATTTTAAAGTTACCAGTAACAATAGTAACATAACATATACATAACATAGTATAATAATAATATACAACGTAACTAAAAATAATAATAATAATAATAATAATAAATGTTTCTTGAGCAGCAAATCAGCATATTAGAATTAGAAGTCGACCGATAGTGGATTTTGCCGATACCGATAGCTAGGTTGGACCACACTGGCCGATACCGATTAATTAACCGATAGTTTTTAAAATGGATACTGAACAAAAACTAAAATAATGCTTTATTAAAAAAAACAGTACTGAACCATACTAGTAGTAGTAGGGATGTAACGATTCACTCAACTCACGATTCGATTCACGATTTTGATTTCACGATTCGATTCGATTCGATTCACGATTTTTTTTTTAACAAAATGAGATTTAAGACAAATTATAAATTAAATGTGTCCTTTTATTATTGCAGACAAAATACTGTACGTTTCTTTGTGAAATTGAAATACAATACTATAATAATATACTAATATAGCACTTGCATATTATTGCTCTTTTGTTGGTTTTGATTGCTTCTATTGTCCTCATTTGTTAGTCGCTTTGGATAAAAGTGTTTGCTAAATAACAAAATTTAAATTTAACGTAAATGTAAATAACAAAACTAAATTGAAATTTTAAAACAAGCCCCAAATCAAATAAATAAGTAACACAAATAAAATAAATCTCTTAATATAAACAAAATAAGTCTTTGTCTGTGCTCTTTACATTTAAAATTAGAGGCAACCAAATTACATTACATTACATTATAAAATAACATTGTATAATTTCGAAATTTTAAGCAAAAACAGAATGGTTTGACTTCAGTTTTGTGAAACTATGCATAAAAAATATCTGCATGAAACAGAAACAGCAGAGCTGAATGAAACGCAGATTCACTCTCTGCCAACAGGTGGCACTTAAAGCGTTTTCTTGGTTTCAGCTGTAAACAAAGCAGCGCTGCACTTATGAAATTATGCAGGGCTCCAGACTGCGACCATTTTTTCTGCCTGTGCGACTAAATTTTGTGTGCGGTCGCACTGGTGCGACCACCGCATTGTTTAACTCATAAGCGCTGCATTTCTGTTGCATATGAGAAACATCAAA